GTGACCTGTTCATTAAGAGAGTGGCTCACAGCAACACGCTGGCATAACTTTCCAGGTATCGGAACGGCAGATGGGTAAAGTAGTGAACCTCGCGAACAAGCCGCAAGATGCTGAGCAGCTGGCCATCCGATTGCGTCTAAGACAGATCACAGATCTGCGATTCTGCTACCCTGAATCGCATAGACGAGCACGGTGGTGCCAGTGATGAGATGTGCGGCGTGGAACAGGATGCCAAATAGCCGTTATGGTCAGCGCCACGCCGCACTCCGCCAACAAAAATTGCGTATCTGTCACGCAGTATCGAGGAAACATCCCTGCACGCCAGATGAAGGAGGAACAGATAGGTTAATTACTATTCCGGATGGTGTGTTGGTGATGCCAGCAAGGGGTATGCTAAACGTGACAGTCGAAATTTCAGGTATGAGTCTTCACTACCAGATCGCAAACTCAGTAGTAAATCCAACACCTGCGGTACTGTTAGAGAATATTTAGACCAGGAAGAGTTGACTTCAACTGGAGTAGAGTGGACGCACTGCTCCCATTTGTTGCATAGCAGACTTTTCCTGTGTTGGTAGACACTGGGCTAGCACAGACTGTGATTCGTAGAGACTGAACAAAAATGCTAACAGAAAGGAGTAGCGCTGGATCCTGTGATGGCGTAGTAGCAACGCAGCTGATCACCGCCGCAGGTTCACCAATGAACGTCATTGGCATCATGCAGATTAAACTCCGTATTAGGTCAGAAGAAGCTTAGTGCACACCTACAGTAGTCAAAGGAACTAATTTGCCTCTATAGACTTGGAGTCGACGTATTGAGCAAATTAAAATGCAGCATCAATCTCGAAGAGGAAACGATAGCTTCCTGAAAAGAAACATTCCAATGATACACGGTTTGGGAAGTCATGAAACTGTCAGAGGCACCTAAGAGTCGATTAAGTGACCTGAAGCAATTGTAATACCAGGAGAATCGATATGCCGTGAACCAATGAGGGGGAGGAAAGAAGGAATATTGAACTCGTCAAAGGATTTCGCTGAACGAACTGGCTTGCTGATGACTCGAGCAGAAGTGACAGTGAGAGATGAGATAATCCTGGTGCAAATTATGAACATAGCGCCGCAGCAGATCACTATTTACGCCTACTTGAAAACTGGCTGTTTAACCTCCTGCAGCCGAGTCGAACGCAATGCCGAGAGCATTAAACGTACCAGCGAAAACCGCAGACATCAGGGCTTCCGAAGATCGCATCGCAACAGCTAGTACCAAAATACGAACCGGCAAGCGACGTAGTTCTTAACAGATTTTAAGACCTGTTACACAACCAGGGGGATGTTTCCGACCAAGATTTGGGCGGCTTAAGGTAGCAAAACAACAGACTAACGCTGCTCATACCTGGCCAAGTAGACAAACATCTCTGCGAGTTCCTATACATGATCGGGAGTGATGGCTGAGTCCCGTGATATTATGACGTCAACGGTGGTCATCTCCCGTTGGCTAGAAATAATGACAGCTGTTTGTGATTTTGCATGGACGATACAAAGTGAATGAAGAGTAACTAGCAAGAGCAGCCAAACGATCCCATGAGTCGATGATGCACTCGATACCCTTTAGAACGCAGTGTTGTTTTCCATTATTGACAATGCTTCCGACAACTCGCAGATTGAAACAATGGACAGGAACAAGGAAAACGCAGCAGTAGCACCTCCCCCCATTTGGTGTGTGAAAGTTCAGCATTATGCGTTTGGTCTGTGCAACACTCCAGAAGGGTTCCAGAGGTTTCGACACGCAGGTAAGCTCTACAAAAGATTAAACCAGATATGAACCTCTCGTCATAAACAACAGCATACTTATGTCTCATCATACATACCCTTCAAGGGGGTCCAGATTAACTTCTAGAACTGTACCAGACTGCATTTTTGCCTCAATCACAGCTCCATTGCATCAGCTGATAAATCAGGGTGCCAGATGGACAGGAAGCGACCAATTTGACGAAGCATTCTTCAATTTAGAGTTGTCTGATCCGCGCCAAATTCAAAAATAGACGTCAAATTCATCTCTGATACGGATGCCAGGGGCGATTGTATTGTAGAACAGCTGTCTCAAATGATTGGTGGTGAGGAATCGGTGATTCCCTATACCAGTTGATTTTCAATGAAAGCAGAAAAGCAGTATTGCGTTACTAGCAGGGAAACACACGCGGTGGTATTTCGCTGTTGTCTGTTCGGAGGTCATTTCACAGCAGTTTCTGCTGGCTACGTTTATTCAAGGAATCTGAAGAACACGTGGCACCATGGCTGGTGTGGTTAGCAGAGTTCAAATTCGAGGCACAGCATCGCACGGTCCCTGTCAAGCAAGGAATGCCCATTATAACTACGTACTTAGAAAAATGCTTCCGATGACTCTTTCATTCAGCGGTACAGCAACATGATGCACTTTTAATATATTTGAGCCTTTTTCATAGTAACGATATTCAGGTTTCCGATTTCACACGTGCGCACAGCGTTTGAATCGCCATTCGGTTGCAACTCGAAAATAATATGTCAATCTTGACGGCGTAGGTAAAGGCTAGACAACTTTCCAAGTGGTCTTCGAAAGTTGCAACTGGACACAGGCAGACAGGGGTAAAAATCAGTGGCTGGCTAGCGGTCAGCGTTGGAAGCACAGGAAGCTTCGCCCGTGATGAAAATAGTCATGATTCAACTATCTGATAAGATTTTCCAGACATACTTCGCGAACTCCTCCAGCCCCCGTAATATTTGTCTTTTTAATCTGTCACCAATGAATCTAGGACAACTTACTCATAGCAAAGCATTGAAGTTATTGCCTGAGGTAAAACGGTTTTTATTACATCATCATGCTCCGAAAACCTCGCCACTTCCGCTATGAAAAACATACTTTGCGTTCATATTCAAGAGATTTCTATTGATTTTCGCCGCCTACGATTCTACGCAATCAGACCTGACCATCGCCGGAAAAACTGAGTAACGACCAGAGCAATCTATTTATTTGAGGAAGTGCGGTGGAGTGTACATATATCTCGATAAGGTGCGCCTATGTAATTATTGTTATGAGCCATATGCATAAGAACATACTGTTCCTCCAGGTTGCATGCTGGCCTCCCAGCTGATATCTGTTGTTTCGGTTCCCACAAGAAAGGTTCATGGGCTGAAGCATACGGTTTAATGTGTGCTATAAAAATGTCACGGTATACCCAAATGTTCGACTAACGAGGTTTCGATAACTCAATATTAAATGTACACAATGTCAAACCAGACGCGTCGTCCATGAAGTTTTCTGGCTTTGCAAAATCTGAACCGGGTCTGGCACTGCAAGTTATGCAGTTGTGTCCAAGAAATGGACGCGTTTCCTTCAAATCTACATTGAAGGATGGGGTTTGAGGAAGAATGTCAAAAATTATCCTCAAGCAAAGAATCTGAAACCATTTACCTGGGTGTCTAGCCTTTAAACAGAAATCTGTGGGAGACCGGCGAAAGATTCAAATGTTACTTTACGCATGACCCAACGTACGGGAAAGTAAACTATATCCTTGAAGTATGTGAGAAGTAAACGACATTGTCGCGGAAGTTAATCGTGTGGCTTACTGGCACGCGTTTCAGCTGTGACTAACTCAAATTTTTTAAGCAGGAAATTCACAATGGCATTCTTCGGTCCAAATGAGAGAGAAACGGCTATTAAGTTGGTGGCTTACAAAGAACAGTATTCTTACATGATCATGCCAGAGTTGCTGGTGATTATGTCTTTGCTGCTTGATGCATACTCCTTAAAACTGCAGTTTGCCTGAGAGAGCAGGGAGAACTAATGCGATGGGCTCTGCATGCATGATGGTTCCCTGAGTGGAACCTACTATCATCAAGTGGAACTCAGTGGACCATGAAGAAACGCTCGGTCACACTTCAAGATGCGACGGTTTTATATCTGACCTGCAAGGTCAGTGGTACAAAAGGAACACTCAAATGAGAAAGAAGAGGAAAGGAAAAAAAATTAGCGCGATCTAGCATATTACTGAAAATCGGTCTCAAACTCATCAAACTAACGCTCTGTAATTGCATTGCTTTGACATGCAGGACACACGAATGGTCTTTGCAGGAGCATGGAGGTATCGACTTCTGCTAAACTGGTTTTCACATGAGCCTACCTATCAAGAAATCGAGAAAGCGAAAAAACGGCAGATCAAATGATAGACGTAGGTTCAAAAACAAAAATTTCCCTTTTTTATAGCATGAATACATCATTATTACATGACTTAAATAACCAGTTTGCAAATGGTTGACATGTGTTAAACATGTGTCAAAATTCTGAAGTAATTTGCAGGACTACATCAATGATTATAATTGGAATACAAAACTTTTAATACCTTGAAACATGGGAACCTGAATCACGCCATGAAACAGTCACAAGTTTAAGACCTTAGAAGCAACGACCCCTAAGGAAATTTTTTAAGCAGTAATGAAATAATTTGGAATAATTTGGATCGCTGAAACTTCAGTTTAAGAGGTTCAGTCTCTGAAAATTCAACCTCGCATAAAGCTAGAACAGACGGAATCGCAAGCGCTCATAAATAGATGAACTGTATTTTCAAAAACGCAATGCTAACAGTTAAGGCATGTGACAGGCTTTGAAATGGTCGCAAAACGTGGGTGAACGCTGAAAATGATCTTGCAGATTGAACAAAGGTTAGCAGCACTAAAAGTAAGTCTGTCTCGAAAAAGAATATCATAGTTACAAAGTAGGAAACTGATAACCATGATGATGAGGGCAAAGATGAGAACCATACTTCGTATCTTCTTCATTAAAGAGAATGGTTTCCAATATGGTGAATGTTCTTCGGGCAAAAATTTTAGTTAGATCGGAGTTAAAACGCTCTTCGATGTAAGAATGAATGACCAAGGCTGAGTAGGGATACCACAGACATTACGTAAGCGGCGACGCAA